TTCTGAGATTTCATGATGAGTGAATGAGTCAATCAGTGACCTTTCGCTTTTAAAGATATACTTAGATAGTTAATACTTTATACACACACATACTTCATATCTACATACCACACGAGATACAATCGATCGTATTTTTCCTACATATCAACGGATCCGCCATTACTTTATTACGGCGTACAAATAGGTCACCCCCCTACCCCCCACGCCCCCACGTGATAATTGTGAAGTCCCGGCGCTCCAGACTGTCCCGGTATTTTGATTTTTACAGGTCTTCGGGAATGATAGCAATTTTGTGGATTGGATCGGAAGATAGTTCTTATGAATTCAGTGAGACAAAATCTATACTCATCATGATTATCGTCATCATTATTTTCTTTTTTTTCTTCTTCCATTATTATGTGCCACTGTCATGTCTATGTAATTGCCTGTATTTGTGTGATGTCCATTTTAATAATTGTGTCTTAATTTCTTTTTTTCATTTCAACTACAGGATGTGCATTGCTCAACATAGGCCTCCCCCAATGATTTAAATCTATACTATCCAGCTAATCTGTACCAATACTTATTATAAAAGCAAAAGTAACTCTGTCTGTCTGTGTCGTTTTCACGCCTAAACCACTGAACTGATTTTGAATAAATTTGGCATAAAGATAGTTTGAGTCCCGGGAAAGGACAAAGGATAGTTTTTATCCCGGTTTTTGAAACAGGGACGCGCGCGCTAAAAGTTTTTCTGTCACTGACAAAATTCCACGCGGGCGAAGCCGCGGGCGGAAAGCTATTATTGTTATATACTTGTAGGTAGGTAGGTAGATAGGTATAGTACCTAATAGAGGGACCTAGAAAGAGAACCTAGGATAAATGTTAATACTAAGAGGTGAAAATGGGACCTTAAATCTTTGTAAGAAGAACGGATTCTTTCTCAAGGAATCTCTTCTTTTGGTTGGAAGTACAAATGTTTAGACATACAAAATTTAATAAAGACATACAAAATTGTGTTTCTGACATACCTGAAAACCATTGTTATGGAGTTGGGAGTCAAGGTAGCTAAACTAATAAAAGAACTAAGTATCAAATATTTCATAATAACTATCCAATTGTCAGCCGTTTGGTGTAGTGGTTCAGAACGGGCTACTATGCCGAGAGGTCCCGGGTTCGATTCCCGGCCGGGCAGAAATTGAAATGATGAATTTTAATTTCTGTTACGGGTCTGGGTGTAAATATGTATAACATGTATGTATTTAATAATAATAAAAAAAAGTATATAAGTAGTATATCCGTTAAGCTAGCACCCATAACACAAGCATTGAGTTGCTTACTTTGGGGCTAGCAGGCGCTGTGTGAAATTGTCCATAGATTTATTTATTTTATTTATTTATTGTTTAATTCATTAAAACTGATAAATCTATTGTCTAATTTGCATTTTGTATATTAAAACCAAAACAAATAAATACTTCATACATAATCCTCTAGACCGTTTTAACAATTATGTCTTTCCTTATTTTTTATGTGAATGGCATTTTCTCCTAAGTTACTTCCATCAAAAATCAACTGTTCAAGGTTCAAAGAATTTGTACGATTTCACACTCATAGTATGCCCAAAAACAATGCTATCAACAAAGCGATTGTGCCAAAAGTTTTATATTGAAAACGAAAACGTTTTTACGAACAACGGTGTTACGCGCGCCATTATGTGTATTGTGTGTGACAGTTGCTCTCAGCAAGTGTTTTGAGTAACTTTCTATGTTTTTTAACAATGAGTTAACAGCCAAAAGCCTTACCGTGGAATGGTATCTACATCCAAACACAACGTTGCAGTAATGAAAAACTGACGGCCGATGGGGCAGCAAGGTTCTAGAGTGGAGGCCGCGTGCTGGAAAACGCAGCGTGGGACGTCCACCAACAAGGTGGACCGACGACATCATAAAGGTAGCATGAAGGTGCTAGACACAGGCCGTTAACAATCGATCAACATGGAAATCCTATGGCTGAAATGATAATGATGATGATGAGTAATGAAAAATAAGATTTACGTAGTCCATCTTATAGAGTTTTAATGGATTATAGTTTGAGGAAGTAGGTACATAAATGGGAAATTCAATATGGTTATATTAAAGAAAGAAGGTCAAAAGTCAATTCAATGTCCAGCATATATTAAGACTTTTCAGATAGCTTGTAAACTAGTAAACAAAAACACTACACAGTAAATAAGTATACGTATCTATTTAGGGATAACATAGCATTTTAATGGTGAAAGAATTTTTGAAATCGGTCCATACCTTTAGAGTTTATTCGTTACAAACATACAAATCTTCACTCTTTTTTAACGTTGCTTAGTATGATAACAATAATAGTGCTTCTATCAAAATAACATTCACACAGAAATGAAAACCAAGAGACAATCACAAAAGGTAGGATCGAATAAATAAAGTCTCACACGCTCCGTATATAAAAAGAGTCTGTCTGTCCGTGAGGGCCATCGAGCGCGCTTGTTAGGAGGAGGGCTCGCGAGGAGAGTATTGAGGCGTGGGTAGTGTGAAACGTGAATGTATGCTGGGATATTTCAGGCTGTAACTGAAACGTATATGGAACGTAATATGCTTTTTATGTAATACTGATAGATCAACAGCCTTGTATTGAATTTAAGCTCGATCCAAAAGATTTCAGGAAAATTTTCAGGAAAAGTCCTTTGCAAAAGGTTCCTTGAGTCAGTGATGTGTAGGAAGGCGCTGGATGCAGGCCGCTACCAACCGTGCGATGTGGAAGTCATTGGGGGAGGCCTATGTTCAACAGTGGACGTCCTGTGGCTGAAATGATGATGACAATGATAGAAACTAATAAGCGTTTTTATTTTGTACTCTTTTTGTTAGCATACAGGGTGGAAAAGATAAGTGATCTCACTCGATTATTTCTAAACTATACAAAATATGTAAAAACTGGTCACTGATCCTGAAAGTGTTTTACGGGTTTTATCTAACGGCCTATCAATTACAGGTTACAGAATAAACTGGATCTAACTAAAAATGACATGTTTTCAGCCGTTTGAAATAGCTCGTGAAGCACTTTCAGTTCAGAACTAATCGTTTCCGAGTTGTATAGTTAGACATATTAAATAATTCAAAAAGGGTTATTGACAATTTGAAAAAAAGTCGATTTGTCGCTGAAAACTTCGTCACACTCAAACACATTTTACGTGACAAATTGAGAATTATTCACGTTTACGAATAGTCTACTTTCAACGTTCGTTCGTTCGTTCGTTTCAGCCGAAAGACGTCCACTGCTGGACAAAGGCCTCCCCCAAGGATTTCCACAAAGACCGGTCCTGCGCCGCTTGCATCCAGCGTCAACACTTTCAACGTATGAAATTGAAACTTATACGTGTGACAAATCGAATTTATAGCAAACTAACAACCCTTAAACAGCACCCGGAAATAATTTCCACACTTAAGACCAAGCAGAGACAATCCTTCAAAACGACAAATACGTCCGATGCAACACAATGGCGGGACTGAACGCGTTTCATCATGCACGTAACAAAACGCGGTACGTACGTCGCTAACAAAACCTAGCTCGTGCTCAAAGCGTGCGAAAGTAGAGCCCTCTTTATCTAAGAGGCGACGGGAGGGGGAGGGACAAGTGCATCTCAAAGAAATGCAGATTTTACACGTCGCTACTCTTCGGGCGTGGATGTATCGCGCTGGCTGCGGACGGACGGCAGAAAAGAGATTTTAAAGTTTCAGTTTTTGAATTTTCAGGAAAAAATACAATAGACGTGTTGACACCACAGTCAATTGACGTACTTTTTAAAACTGTCAAAACGAAACTCTCATAGATTTTGTATGGCACTACAAGCAAGTGACGTCACTATTTTGTCAACCCAATTAAACTACTTTTTTCAATTACAATTCGAAAAAAAATCGAAAGAAGAACGGTCACGCCCCATACAAAAAAAACCCAGACCCGACAGAAACGAGACATACCTCAGTTTTTTTGTCATGTCTTAATTAGTTAAATTATATATTTTTTATATTCGAAATCTATGTATAACACCAAAATATTACCCTTTGTTGTTGTTTAGGCGTTATACAAAAACTAATACAAAATGCTTATTTATCACCAAAATTGGTAAATGTATGTACCTAAATGTCTATTACAGCTGCTATGGAATTTATCTAGGTGACCTGGAGATACAACCGGATTATACAGGGTGGTTATACATATGGAACGATAAGTGATCTCACTCAATTATTTCTAAACTATACAAGATATTGAAAAACTAGTTACTGATTCTGAAAGTGCTTCACGAGCTCTTTCAAATGGTACCAATAATAGGGTACAGATTATGGAAGCTGGTAACATTGAATTTTTGGATTTTGTAACTTATTATTTTTTCCACCCTGTATAATACGGCTGTATCTCCAGGTCACCTAGATACATTCCATAGTAGCTGTAATAGACATTTAGGTGCATACATTTACCAATTTTGGTGACAAATAGGCATTTTGTAGTAGTTTTTGTATAACGCCTAAACAAAAACAAAGGGTAATATTTTGGTGTTATACATAGATTTCGAATATAAAAAATATATAATTTAACTAATTAAGACATGACAAAAAAACTGAGATANTCAAGCAGTATTAGTAAAATAATAAATTCTTCTATTATACTTGATTTTTCGGTACCCTGTAGAACACAGGATGACATGATTAGTGGGGGTCGTTATTTAAACTTTATTTGAGTTTTAATTTAATTTTAATAATAAAATAATAAATACACTTTATTGCACACCAAACAAATAACATAACAGAAGAAAAGGAACACACAAGGTACAATTAGACGGTCTTATCGCTATGAAGCGATCTCTTCCAGACAACCTATGGTGAACCTATTTAATTTAATATTTAATTTTTATTTTTAATTTGACTATAATTTTTAATTAGTTTTTGACTTATGTTTTTGATTTTAATTGTGTATTTTAATTTAAACNAGGAGTCCGTCTGCGCCTGTTTTATCAACAGAGATTCCGCTCGTCGCATCGTATCGCAATTTACATCACCGGTAAGTCCTCTGCACTTGTCAATAAACTTGAGAGCGACCGCCGTAGCCCTCACCAGGCGAAGCCAGGACGAAAAGCGATGCGGGTCAGGCACAGGTAAGGCTTCAAGCGAATTTTCCATAACCATAACGTAACCCGACTGCATTTGTTCTGTTTCAGGTTGAACCATACCTGCGGGCCATGATGTTTCGACGCCGTACAAGAAAGAAGGCCCCGTAAACCATTCGCCGCGAAAACAGTCTAAGTTGAACGAATCTCTTGTAGCCAAATCTGCTATGTTCATTTTGGTTGGAACATGTCGCCACTCACTCACACGAGTAAGCTCATCAATTTCACCCAGTCGGTTCGCTTCAAAAACTTTATATTTCCGTTTGCTATTTCTTATCCAATGGATGACTGTGGTTGAATCAGACCAAAAGAAGCGCCGTGCAGGAGCAAGTCGATGCTCCTTCCCAATCGTGTCCGCCAATCTTGCGGCCAGAACAGCAGCTTGGAGTTCTGCTCGTGGCACAGTCATCGGCTTCACCGGCAGTACACGACATTTACTGGCTGAAAATGCAACACGAATTTTATCACCATCATTCCAACGCCAATACGCAACCGCGCTCATAGCCTTTGTAGAGGCATCGCTAAAAACATGAAGTTGAAGGTCGCTGTAGTTTTTACCATTCGCAGCACTACTTCCTCCGGCCTCTACGAAAGTTGGTGCGTCTGTTTGGCAGTGATTCGGTATAGGGCTCGCCACCAATGACATTTTTGCTACAGGGGCTTCAGTACTAGGGTCCATGCTGTCGTCGGTCGTTCGGTGGACATTTACGTAGCATCTTGGGATACGAATCTGATTAATTACCTTCAGCGTGTCGATCCATTGGCACCATCTTGCGTAAATGTCATCGGGTATCAAATCATCCCAACCGACGTTTATCCTCCAAGTATCCTGCAGCATAATTCTTCCTTGTATAGTGAAGGGCGACAAAAATCCTAAAACATCAAACACAGACATTATGACACGCAACATCAAACGTTTTGTAGGTTTGTCTTTACCATGAATGACACTCTCAGGAATCCGTTTCAAAGAGACATCAAAACCGAGTTCGTCTTCCTTCGGGTACCACATTAGGCCAAGAATACGCTCTCCTTGCAACTGTTCGTCTATTTTGAACTTGACAGCCACTGGACCTAAAGCCTCTTTTGGAATGCTGTCTAGCACGGCGCTGCTGTTGCTCGTCCAATTACGTATTTCGAACCCTCCTGCCTTGTGTATCTCAATCACATCTCTCACTACATTAATGGCACTTTCTTGGTCCGGCAAACTATCGATATAGTCGTCCATATAGTGCGAATTGATTATTGCATCAACCGCAGCCGGCTTAGAACTCTCAAAACGCTTAGCGTTCTTGTTCTTAACAAATTGAGCTACAAATGGCGAGCAGTTAGCACCAAATATTAAAGATGAGATATTCTTTAATGTTCATTGCAGTTTTATGCCAAACCTATGACAATAAACGTATGGCGTTAATTGATTTAATTATGTGAAATATTCTTATGAATCGATCAAGACAAAAAAATCGAGGTTAAATGCGTAATTAAATATATAAATACTAAAATAAAAAACGTTATCAAAATTCTAACAACGCCATGGGTCGTTATTAGAAACCAAATTAAGAAAAGTGTTTCTATTACCGCTCTTATTTAAAATTGTATTTAAGCTACAAAAATACGGCGAGAGGGCTATGTTGAGGGTTTATTAAGGAAACTAAAGTACGAATTAGTATTATCATGCAAAAACATATTGGTACACTCATTTTGAATGTGTTAAAATCGCTAATTAATAACAAGGTGCACCTTAAGTAGCTGGGAGCGCGTCAGTATGAAAAGTGCGTCCGTTGCGGGCGCGTCTCATTTAATGTCAAATAACTCCATTTACTGGTTATTTACGAACACAAACTTTAATCGTTTTGATAGTCAATAAACATATCTAGATATTTTTTAGCTAACGTGTTTTCTGGAACCTGTTATTATGTCTTTTATGAAAGAAAGAAAAATAGGGCGGTAATAGGATACAAATTTTGGGGGGTCGTTAATAGGCGCACTTACGTTAATTTATTTAAAACACGCGTCAACCCTGCCCATTCCTGTGCATGTGTGCGCGTTGTTTTGTGTCCCTGCTGTGTGTGTGTGTGTTATTGACATTTTTATACATGAATTTTATGTATCTGATTTAGTTGGCGCGCTAGTGTGTGTTATTTGCCGTTCGATGTTGTCTGAGTTCTGAATGGTGTAATTAATTCCTTTCAAATGTAACAGTTCGTTACGGTGTGAATGTGATACGTACTATGTATATGTATTTAGTTTCTACCTGAATAGAATTTTGTCGAAATCGTTAGATGAGTGACGTGGTTACTCGTATAATACGTGGCGTATACAATTTAAGAGAACTCTGCAACTGTCACTGGAATGGTGGTGTTTCAGAAACTACCCGCTATTTTACTGACAATGCTTACTGAGTTGAAAAAAACACTTATCTCTCTTAGTAAATAACACTATTTCATTTTGTTACTACAAAACTAAATTATAAGAACGATGCAATAAATACTGAAAAATATTTTTTCTAACAAAGACAATATCTGTAATAACAAAGACAATGGAATAGAGACATCAAATCGATACAAAAAAGTATACACAGTACATTAATTTATTAATTTTCATTTTGTGGTTAGTTTTTTCCATCAGCTTTTATTACTTAAATATCTAAAACTAGAAAACAAATTATCTTTAGCTCATACTCTTCCTTCTAAACCATGATAAGCCCAAAAACCCCTCTAAATTCAACCCTTCAAAACCCACCTCTCTACAAAATCACAGACTATTCAGCACGTAGCACATAAAACATTAAAATATGTATAATTTTACAAAAATCGTTTCACACGCCCCCCCAGAGGGTGGGGGGCCAGGTGAACGCTGCAAGTGGTGCATTATTAGACGCCCGGCATTGGCATACGTGAGGGTGCTAGTTCGAAAAAAGGATGTCTTTGGACTATGTAGGTACTTTGTTTTGTACCGTGACGTTGTAGTGTGATGACGTCATTGTTAATTGTAGAGGTAGAACGTGTGACGTTGAACCGTAATATGTGTATTAAATGTCATAAGAAACGAGTCACTTTTTTTTTAACTTGGTGTTTAGTTTTGTTGTTCCTACCTGATAGTAATTTAGAATGTTTTAAGAAAAACAATGATTTAATTCTGATATCAATGGGAAAATTTATATTTCAGCAAAAGGAGCTTTTCTTCACTATAAAATTACATAGTTTTTCAGCTCATGAAGGCTATCGCCTTATATGATAAGCAGCACATAGGAAAATGAATGTTTTAAAACTGTCTGTCTACTTATTCATAATTTCTTAACGTGTTAATAATAAATACTAATTTTCTTATCACTAACATGCGAAGTGATGGATGTCATACAAACTTTCATCTTCTATTTTACATCTTTAGGATTTTATTCAGTAAAAGGCATATGCCTTTAAAAGCGCAGAATAGGACGTCCACCCACAAGGTGGACCGACGACCTCATAAAGGTAGCAGGAAGGCGCTGGATGCAGGCCGCCACGAACCGGCCATTGTGGAAATCATTGGGGGAGGCCTATGTTCAACAGTGGACGTCCTATGGCTGAAATCATGATGATAATGGTGATGCCTTTAAAGTGAAAATTAATCCGAATTGATTTATTTAGACGCAAACAAATAGATAATTTTCTTCTATAATGAAAATTTTAAATAACTATACATACACTCCCTCCACATCTTGATTTCCCCTTCCCATCCGTTATTAAGTCTCAATTGGGGACTTTGACAAATGCATCGCTATGAGCTGGTTTGGCATCGGTCCACGGTTGCTATATCAATGGGCTTTCGTGAATATATGCTGTAGACAGCTTTAAGCTGTATTGGAAGCTCGGCAGCAGATGGAAAGTGTAGAGCTTTGGAAACAGCGTTGCATTTTGGGGAAATGAAATACATAGAATATCTTGATTCAATTTCCACGGTTTGGCACTTTTGAACTACAGAAAATAAAATGTAGCTTTTAAGCATGTTTCTTTAAGATTTTATTTAATTTGGATGAAAATTTTATGTCCTATAAGAGCTTCGAGAAAAATGTGGCTGTTATAGAAGACGCCAGACAAACATAGTCACTTCCATTTCATAATCATTGTCATTTCAGCCAGTGGCAGTCGATTTTTGGACTAGGCCGCTGATAAAAAACGTCATAAAACTCATTTATTTTTAAGCGGAGCCTGAAAAGACCACTTTAAAGGTCCTAACCCTACCAATGCTTCGGGACAATATGGGCCAGTGCTGCAGTGGCAAGCAGGGCAGGAAACTGTCATGATGGATGAGACAAGTGGAAAATCATACTTTGTGGCACCAATAAGGCCCGGTTTTTTGATTCGTAGTTAAAATAACCAATAGTCAAATTTGACAGATGTCAAATGACAAGTGGTTAAATATCAGAAAAAAATGTTTTTCGAACAATGGTTAGCTTGACTTTTAGTACATTTTTTAACTATTAGTTAAGATTTTGTTAATATTTAACCATTAGTAGCAAAATTTAACAATTTGTTATTTTAACTATGAATCAAAAAACTGGGCCTAAGTGATTGATGATTGGCACATGGCGTCAGCCGTGGACTGTCTTCAACAGAAATGGATAAAGTCTTCTTCAGAACTTGATATTTGGAGTGTTTTTAAACTATTACCTATTGTAATTACCATTTACCAATGTTTTATCATATTGCAATTACACCCACACTTAGTATTTATTTATTTGTCAATTCTACCAAAACCTCTAGGTCCAATCCTCACCAAGTACCAACACACACCAAACTACCCAATACACTACACCTCTAAGTTCCAAGCCGTTAGATATTTAATATAACGCCGGCCATCGCGGCCATGTGTGGGCCAGATATGGAACTGCAGTTCAAAATTAAAGGCAGCCCGTGCCAATTCGTATCAGCTATGCAAAACTTATATGGACATAATGAGAACCAGAAATTATTAGTAATAGTGGTAGAAAGCGTCATTATTATAAATCCCATCTAAAATTCACGTAAATCAAACGGCACAAGTCGTATGAAAACCTTGTGTCAAACTCTATGGACGCATCATTATGTGACTAAAATATATCTATTGTGGGACTTTCAGATCGATTTTAACTGCGATGTACAAAAGGTGACTTTTCAATATTTTTGTTTCCCTTAATAAGAGACTTAGATACGTCATAAAGGTAGCAGGAAAGCGCTGGACGCAGGCCGCTACCAACCGGGTAACATGGAAAGCATTGGGGGAGGCCTATGTTCAGCAGTAGATGACCTATTATGGCTGAGATGATAATAAGAGACTTATACCATAGATTTCTAAATTAATGGTATGAGTACCAAGACTTTTCATTATGAAATACGTGGATTCAAATCTGCGACTAAAATAAATACTGAAATACAACCAATCACAAATGTTAATACTAGTTTGAATTTGATCATCATTTCATTGACAACATTAAGCACTATGTTCACCTTTATATCTACACTAGCGGCCGCCCGCAACTTCGTATCCCTTAAGAGTTGAATTTTGCAAAATCCTGTCTTAGTGAGCACCTAGGTTCTAAAAGGAACCCCCATGCAAAGACTCCTAGCACTTGTAGTTTCTGATATTTCATGATGAGTGAGTGAGTCAATCAGTGACCTTTCGCTTTTAAAGATATACTTAGATAGCTAATACTTTATACACACACATACTTAATATCTACATACCACACGAGATACAATCGATCGTATTTTTCCTACATATCAACGGATCCGCCATTACTTTATTACGGCGTACAAATAGGTCACCCCCCCTACCCCCCACGCCCCCACGTGATAATTGTGAAGTCCCGGCGCTCCAGACTGTCCCGGTATTTTGATTTTTACAGGTCTTCGGGAATGATAGTAATTTTGTGGATTGGATCGAAATAGTTCTTATGAATTCAGAGACAAAATCTATACTCATCATGATCATCGTCATCATTTTTTTCTTTTTTTTCCTCTTCCATTATTATGTGCCACTGTCATGTCTATGTACGAGTAATTGCCTGTATTTGTGTGATGTCCATTGTAATAATTGTGTCTTTCTTTCTTTTTTTCATTTCAACCACAGGATGTGCACTCAACATAGGCCTCCCCCAATGATTCAAATCTTTACTATCCAGCTAATCTATACTAATACTTATTATAAATGCGAAAGTACGAGTATCTCTGCCTGTCTGTCTGTGTCGTTTTCACGCCTAAACCACTGAACCGATTTGGCATAAAAATAGTTTGAGTCCCGGGAAAGGACATAGGATGGTTTTTATCCCGGTTTTTGAAACAGGGACACGCGCGATAAAAGTTTTTCTGTCACCGACATAA